TATTCTCTTGGGTAATGTGTTGGTTAACTCCACCTTTACCATTCTACTGGATGGTTTGACCTCTGGACTCTTTGCTGTCATATTTTCCACCCTGGCTATCGTGCTCTTTGGTGAAATAACACCTCAGGTAGGCTGTCGGTTTAACTATATGGTTGGGTTCTGTAAGAGTTAAACGCTCAATCAAAGTAATCCATTTACAGAAGACGTCTATTATAGACTCTCAAGCACTGTCACTATATTTTGTCTAAATGCAGCTCAACCACTTTATCACTATATCCCTAGTTTTAAAGAATATAAAAGCCTTTACAATATCTTAAGTAAAATATGCTTTATTTGAACATTTGTTGTGAAACAGTAAAAGTTGTGTATATTTGCTATGTCCATGTTATATCTACGTGTCGATCACGTATCGCATATCTTACGCAGAGCGGGCTAATACATTTTTCGATGCCTTTTGCATCATATCGATAAATATCGATTTTGAAATCTGATTTTGTAGAATACGAGATTCAGCCCTTCGGTAAATATAATGACAAGATCGGAAAAATGAATAGAAAATACAATTTGTTTCTGATGCAAAACAGCAGAAAGACAACTTTTAGCAAAAGTATAAAGAGAATATATCTGGATGTCTCTTGTTACGTTGTTAAAAAATCAAAAATCATTTTACTGTACATTTACAATTCTATTTTCACGCTGTTTTCCCAATCTCAAATCATATTCGTAAATTGCTTCTTTGTGATCTGAAAATGCTTTTCGACAATAGAAAGTTATTTGAGGGCTGCTACCTAAGCGGCGGCTGGGAATCGATATTTATCGGTTTGAAGAGTCGATATTTATAGGTTTCTGAGAGAGTTACATATTCTATGTTCAAATTGATTGTCTCTAAGTCTTGCCTATGTAGAGACTGTCATGCCCTGTCATTGACTCCACAAATGTGATTCATATGCGTTATTCACGACTTTTTTACTGTTCAACAACAAACAAACAACAAGCTTAAAAAAATATAAATTTTGAGCTGCATAATGCTGTTACATAACCTTATCATCTTTCAAATTAAAACCAAACTTTAAAAAATATGTCAGAAATACTTATTGATCTAAAAAAAATAATGGTGTGCCCTACAGGCTGTTTGTTCAAGACACGGCTTGGCTATTGGAGCCAAAACTATATTGATTACCAAAACGGTAATGGCCATTACAGCCCCGCTGTCGTACCCAATTTCTCGTATCCTAGATGCCTTGTTGGGTGAAGAGATTGGCAATGTATTTAATCGTGAACGCCTAAAGGAACTTGTTCGAGTAAGTACGAAACTACTTTTGGTAATAAGCATTTTAAAAGCTTCTTCCTCTTATTGCTTAGGTCACAAACGATGTAAACGATTTGGATAAAAATGAAGTGAATATTATATCGGGCGCATTAGAGCTGCGCAAAAAGACGGTTGCCGATATTATGACACACATAAATGACGCGTACATGCTTTCATTGGATGCCGTGCTGGACTTTGAAACCGTGTCGGACATCATGAACTCTGGCTATTCGCGTATTCCAGTTTACGATGGGGATAGGAAGAACATTGTCACTTTGCTGTATATTAAGGATTTGGCATTCGTTGATACGGATGATAACACCCCGTTGAAGACACTTTGTGAATTTTATCAAAATCCAGTGCATTTTGTTTTTGAGGACTACACGCTAGATGTTATGTTCAATCAATTCAAGGAAGGTACAATCGGACATATAGCATTTGTGCATCGCGTCAACAGTGAAGGCGACGGCGATCCATTTTATGAAACCGTTGGCCTTGTTACATTGGAGGATGTAATTGAGGAACTTATACAAGCGGAAATTGTTGATGAAACCGATGTGTTTGTCGACAACCGTACAAAAACACGTCGCAGTCGTTATAAAAAGGCCGACTTTTCTGCGTTTGCCGAACGTCGCGAGGCTCAAACTGTGCACATATCTCCTCAATTAACGTTGGCAACATTTCAATACCTAAGTACAGGTAAAAGTATATTTTTCTATTTATATGCAAATACATCGTACTATAATTTCTTTGTTTTTGCCTACAGCTGTTGATGCGTTTAAAAAAGATGTAATATCAGAACCGATATTGCGGCGTTTACTTAATCAAGACGTTTTCCACAATATTAAATCAAAGGGAAAAAATAAGGATGATCCCAGTCTGTTTATATTTACACAAGGAAAAGCTGTTGATTTTTTCGTACTTATATTAGAGGGTCGTGTCGAGGTGACGATTGGCAAGGAAGGTCTTCTTTTTGAGAGTGGACCATTTACTTATTTTGGAACCCAAGCATTGGTACAGAATGTTGTTGTTGGTAAGTGTAACTGGATAATTATAGAATATGTGCATGAGCCTTTACTAATGTAGACGTTGTAGATTCTCCAACCCAGATGGGATCAATGCAGTCTTTGAATATGGACGCGAAAATTCGGCAAACTTTCGTTCCTGATTACTCGGTTCGCGCTTCTGGGGATGTGATATATATTGCAATTAAACGAAGCTTGTACCTAACTGCAAAGAAAGCAACATTATTAGAAAAAAGTCGTAAATCGGGCACATTCTCCAGTGAAACATTCGATGACGAAGTTGAACGTCTTCTGCATTCGATAACTGAAGATGAGAAGCCTCGATTCCTGACAGCCTCTCAGAGTGCAAGACGCGCTTCTAAGCCAACAAGAAGTGCAACATCGTCACCTACAAATAATACTTTGTCCCATGACGATCGAAGTAATAGTGCTAGTGGCCAAATCCCAACTGGACACAGAACTGGTCCAGAACCTACTGAAGATGGTTCGTTCAGTAGTTTGGTTACTTCGGATGTAGCAGGTGATATTCAGAATGGAGACAACGAGGACAGAGATGGAACGGCGGCGTCAACACCGCTTTTGCCAAAGCAAGAGGAAAATAACGAATCCAGGCAAAACAAGCCACAATAACGACAGTCTTCGGAGTACCCCAGACATTAGAACCTAGTTGCCGCAGATTAAATTTTCCCTAAGTATAACCCACAATTGTTCTAATGTAAAACAGAAATATTCTTGCTGTTTCCTTAAATATTATTAACATTACTATTGTCTATTTTTCCACTACAACTTGAGATTTGACTAGAATTTTGTTTCTTTTTTTTTTTGTAAAAGTGAGTTAGCGTGAGTTTATGTTTAGATACAACAGAAATGTAATGTAACAATCGATGATGTTTTATTTCGTTTGTGCTTCAGAGCAAGGCATCGTCTGCATAAGAGCATAATAATACTTTTGAAAATTTTCGAATCCTAAAATTACACACACATTTACACACATAATAAATACCTCATAAATTACGTACTTAAGAAGAGAAATTAAGCACCACTGCGCTTGCAATCCACCCCACATTTCTACTTCCAATTAAATGAATAAATATGTTTATGACCACAGCATTAATAGGAATTTGTTGTTAAATTTGTTAATTGTTCAGTGCACATCTCTAATAGTATAGTTTCCATTTCAAGTCAGTCTAAAGATGTTATTTAATCAACAATATTCCTATATACTATACCAATGTGCACAAGTTTTGTTTATACTGTTGTATTTATAGTTGCGTTATCTAATAAAATGCATTCATCTACATTAATTATAGCACTTCATATAGAGTAACTTTATTACTAGGGAAGTTAAAAACTTCTTATTTGTTGTTTACATAAATGAATGCGTTAATTAACAGCCTATTATGTCTTAAAATGAAAAGCATTACATACATACACCTATGTTAACTTAGAATTAAATAAAACTACAACATATACAATATGTACAAGCAGAGTAAATTGGTTTTTTATATGTCCATCGCATTTGTTAGTGAAGCCAATTGACTGTTCCGACCAGCGTTGGCCATAGGTAAAATATTTTGAAAGTTTCTTGCAGAGAACCTAAATATTAAATATTAAATATAATAAAAAATGTGCTTGCAATAAATTATACATTTTATAGAATTCATATATTTACGATAAAAATATAAAACATTAATGTCAATAGAGATACTTTGTTACTTCCCTATATTTACAATATATATATATATATATATATATATATATATATATATATATATATATATATATATTCATATTTAAAAGGCATAAGTTTTACAAAACAATATTTATTGGGTTACTTGGGTAACATTTAGACGCTAAAAATATGTCACAATATTGAAAGAAAGAAAAAAACAGTCGAAAATGCTCGGCAGCCTACATTTGTAATTATACACTGCGTTCTAGTTTTAGCTAAATATCGCAATAAAATCTTAAGTTTATTGTTGCAATTAGTTTAATTTATTCATAGTTCAAAAGTGTTCAAGTGTGACAAATGATTTTTTTTTTGCAATGCTTTAATAATTTCACATCGCATCTTCTGTCGTTTAGATTCAGATGGTGAAACACTCCTCATATATGGAAGATTCAAATAATAGATGACATTTACTGAAAAATAAAGGCTACAATATATATATCGTACTAAATATACCACAAAGAAGGTGAACATGAAATTAATTGATCAGATACGATTAGCAGAACGCCTTACGAACTCGAGAAATAAAGCTCCTTGCGAGATTTTGCTATCTTAAGATATCAAAAACTGAGCGATTAGTACAATTTAAAATTTCAATTTAAAGTTACCGCTAACCTTCGCGGCCCTTTCAGCTTTTTGCATATTTCAAACTTTTCATGACATCGATATGAAATTCGATAAGTTTTCGCAAAAAGCACGAATTACTTGGGGCGATTACCTAACTATTTACTAAACTATATACTATTTTTTTAAGCTACTAATGCTAAATCACTCTAGATATATGCTTTCTTTTATTAAAAAAATATTTTACTATTTGTAGAAAATAAGTTCCTTATGCCCGATAGCAATGGAAATGTGGCATTTTGAAAAGTATTAAGGGAGTATCACTAATTTAAAGTTGCAGGGCTGCAAAATAGTTATCGAATAAAATTTCTTGTTTGCTCAGCCTATTATAAGTTATTGTCAAACTAATTTTTGTTTATTGTTTGAAAAATAATGCAGAGGGGGGGAAGATCGCAATCACGTCGCAACGGTCGCCCGCCAGGACTAACTGGAAAGGAGATTGGCTTGTACTATAAAAACCTTGCACGGCAACGTAAAAGCGAAGCCAAAAATGAGAACAAGATTAATCTGGGCTGCGATGTCAGCGTGCCGCCGGGTGTTCTTACGCGTGTCAAGGAATACATGGAACAGTTTAAAGCTGCACGCGAAACTGGGCAGGAACAGCTGGATGCCAAGTTCCAAGATCAGTTTCGCCATTTGCTAAGCGTAAACTTTGATGCATTCATTGAAGAGGCCAAAAAGCAGAACCAAGACTTACAGCTGCGGAACAGCTCGCTGGATGCCCAACTTGAAGAGCAGCAAAGGGAACGCCTGCGACGTGCGGACTTTCAAGAACGCTACAAGGAACGCATGAAACTGCCCACAATGAGCCATGCTGCAGAAATAATCGAGGCTGTGGAAAAAAATCAAGTTCTATTAATTGTGGGTAGCACCGGCTGCGGCAAGACAACGCAGGTGCCGCAGCTACTGCTGGACGATAGCATTTCAAAAGGCATGGGATCTGGCTGCCGCATTGTGTGCACGCAGCCTCGTCGCATCTCGGCCATAACTGTGGCGGAGCGAGTTAGCTATGAGCGTGCCGAAGCGCTAGGTCACTCCGTGGGCTACCAGATTCGCCTGGAGAGTTGCAAGCCGCGTGAACGTGCCTCGATAACGTACTGCACTACCGGCATCCTTTTACAGCAGCTGCAGGGAGATCCGTTGCTGCATAACGTCAGTGTTCTTCTCCTAGACGAGATTCATGAGCGTAGCGTTGAGACGGATCTCCTGATGGCATTGCTCAAGATTATACTGCCACATCGGCCCGCGTTGAAAGTTATATTGATGAGCGCGACGGTGCGGGAACAGGATTTCTGCAATTATTTTAATGCATGTCCAATGTTTCGCATTGAAGGAGTCATGCATCCCGTTGAGATGCTCTATCTTGAGGATGTGCTCGCATTGACAAGCTATAAGTTTGACACTCGCAAGAATAGACGTGCGCGTACCCGGAGCGATCTGTCTGATCATAGACCCATGATCGAGCCATATATAAGACGGGTGCGTGACAGGTACGACAGCAAAGTTCTGGAACAGCTTCGACTGCCCTGCTCCGAGGGATGCGAGGACATTGACTTTATTGCGAATCTCATTTATTATATATGCACAATGAAGTCAGAAGGTGCTATATTGGTTTTTGTACCGGGATATTCTCAAATATCTGAATTGCACAATACACTGTTAAAGCCTCGCTTAGCCTTGGGTCAGCGCTGGCGCGATCATCTATTAGTCTATCCACTGCATTCAATGCTGCCCTCGGTCGAGCAGCAGTCGGTATTCAGACGAGCACCCAATGGAAAACGTAAGGTCATCATATCCACCATCATTGCCGAGACTTCGGTAACTATTGATGATGTTGTTTATGTCATCAACACTGGTCGCACAAAGGTCAGCAGCTATGACATTGAGACGAACATACAATCTCTGGAGGAGTGTTGGGTCACACATGCAAATACACAGCAGCGCAAGGGACGCGCAGGTCGCGTACAGCCTGGCATCTGTTATAATCTGTTCAGTCGTGCACGCGAAGCTCGTATGTCAGAGGTGCCGACACCGGAAATATTACGCTGCAAGCTGGAATCCATCATACTCAGTCTCAAGTTGCTGCACATCGATGATCCCTACGCGTTTTTTCCAACAATGATTGATGCACCTGCCCAGAAGGCCGTGAGCACTGCCATTAACTTACTTAACCGGTAAGTTGGGGTGATATATATTATCTTGGAATTGGAAAATCGCAATAAATCACCTTAGGATTGAAGCACTTGATAATCATGGCCAGCTGACGCCGCTGGGCATGCACCTGGCCAAGATGCCCATCGATCCCCAAATGGGTAAAATGATTCTGATATCAGCGCTATTTCGTTGTCTGGATCCCATTACCTCAGTGGCGGCTGCTCTCTCCTACAAGAGTCCCTTCTACACGCCCATGGATAAGGAGCAGCGGGTCGACGAGGCTAAACGCAGGCTATCCCAAAATATGCGCAGCGATCATATAATGCTACATAATACCATTTGCGGCTACCGCGAAAGCCGGCAAGCGCATCGTGACCGCGACTTTTGCTATAATAACTTTCTTAGCAAGATGACCCTTCAGCAGCTGGAACGCATGAAGCAACAATTTTCCCAGCTTCTCTATAACTCGAAGTAAGTACACCTTTTGTTCGAATAATCAATAATATAAACTAAAAATCTTGTTTGCGTTTTGCTTTGTAGGCATAACTTTATTTAGCAAAAAATGTGTCCAGTAGTAAACCTACCTAAAAACAGAGTCTTTGCATGCTTAAACAAATTAGTATTTGACAGAGTATTTATCTACATTTTATACTAACTTTAGCTCGATTAAGCGTGGTTTTTTTCGTACGTGTACGATCAATTTTCATCCAAGTTTCATTCAATACCTCTGCTAGTTGGGATTTCGAAATAATGTGGTGATATCTTTCTATTTACTAAAATATACCAACCCATGCTAAATAGAATTTTAATCAGGACTCTGGGGAAGTTCTTGAGCTTGATTCGCCCATGGTTAATTGTTTGATGTCTTTTTTTTTGGGTTACATGCTTGTCCAGCTCTTCTATACACTCAAAAGCGTCCAAAATAACACGAACTATTATATTTTATATTAATTTTAATTCTGTTTACAGGTTTCTTACTTCAATCAATTGTATGGACGAATCATCTAACATGAATTCAGAGAAGATTCCGCTGCTTCGTGCCATTATCGGAGGCGGCCTCTATCCAAACATGGCACATTTGTGGTAAGCTCCAGGCATTCAATTCCTTCTGCTTTGACAACTATTTTATTTTATTGTATTTTTCAAACAGCACATCACGTCAAATCAAAAATCGTGTTCGCGCCATACACAAGATGTTCACAGACGATGGGCGTCGCGTTAACTTTCATCCCTCATCGGTCAACAGCGGGAAGACGGGATTTGATTCAAACTATTTCGTTTACTTCCAGCGGCAAAAGTCGACAGACCTGTTTCTTCTCGACGCGACCATGGTTTTCCCAATGGCACTAATCATTTTTGGCGATGGCGTCGAGTCTGGCGTTATAGACAGAACACATTATATATCCGTGGCTAAAACCTATTAGTAAGCTGGCAACATTTTGCAAATAATTGTATTCAAGTAATTCTTCTTGCCCTCTTTTCTAGTTTTAAGTGCAATCCGGAAACAGCTGCTGTAGTTCTTGATTTACGCACAAGTTTGGAACTCTTGTTACTTGAGAAGGCTTTGTACCCAGCGCCCATTAATGAGAACAGCGATGATTATAAACTTATCAGGTGGGTGTTATTTAAAAACACGCTTACTCTTTAATCGGGCGCAAAAAGTTAAAGTCTTAGCTTATACGGAACTTTTTTTTAATTGAAACCAGCATTCCAGTCTTTTTATTGAAATTTATTGAAGTCCTGTCCTGAATTGAAAATAGGCTTAAAAGATATAATGGTTTTGGGCAAATGTTAGAAGGAAGCATCTGCGACCCTATAAAGTATATATATTCTAATCATTGCCATGTCCGTCTATCTGTTTGTCCGTCCGTATTAATAAACGCTTCGATCTCGGAAACAATAGGAGGTTGTCAAGAAATTTTGAATGTAGGTTTTCTTAGCACCCGTTGTTTCAAACTATCGATAACTAAAGCTGTTTTCAAGCAATTGATAGACATCTATTTCGAAATCCTTTTTTTTAGCATATTTAGGACACAGTATCCAGAACATTTCAGTTTTTGGATGCATTACCCGTTTATAGGTAAAGTCTTCGACCATGTTTGTACCCTACAAATTTCATTTAGATCAATGGACACCTAAGGAGCGCAGCCGCAGCATCAACTGCGTGCGTATATGCGGGATTTCTTCCATGCATGTGTTAAAAAAAAGCCAGAATGTTTGTAACGACAGCTCGGCGCGGGCCTCATAGTTTCCTAGTCTTGAAATCTTCCATAGTTCCAGCCTTTCTGTCAATCTCTCAATCTGTCGCTCGTAGCTTTTGATATCCTTTAATTCGTTTTAGCATGTGACACTGAGCTATACTTTTCTTTTTGCTATATGTTTACGACTCTATTTTTTACAGAGCCATTGAGCTTCTTCTCTCAATTGATGATAAGATAGGCGAAGACTACGATTTGATGTCCGCAGATGAGATCGACGACATTTAGTTTGGCTATAATATATGGGTTTATTATATTATCGATTAAATTAATGTTAAACATTCACAAATCGGAGTAGTTCAGTTCAAATTGATACCAAAAGATATGTATACATTTTAATGTATATCAAAAAGTATATAAATTAAAGATGCCAAGTATTAGCTGTCAGCTAACTTAATCACCTTCTAGAAGCTTAAATGCGTTGTTTGACCGCGCTTCCGAGTTATCGCATTCATCCTCATCCGCGTTTGTTTCGTCGTTAGAGCTGTCCTCGTCATCACTATCGCCGGCTGCAACAAAAACTGTTAACATAATTGAATTTTTGAGGTTTTTGGTCTACTTACTGTCCGAACAGATGGAAGATGTGTCCTCATTAGTCTCGCTATCTGGCTCTTCGGCATATACCTGTTGATATTTATTAACCTCGGCGAAGTCGGGATGCTGCCGCCAGCTTTCTTGTTGGTCATGAAAGCCGGGTGGGTAAAACTGAAGCACCAATTGCTGCTGTCCCGCCAGACACATGCGCAAGATATGATTGGCGGCACGATAACGGTCTGGGCGTGCTGCCTTGGCGGTGAGAAAACCCCGCTTATACGCCCAGGCATCCGCCAGCGCCACAGCCGACCACTCGTCATAGTCCTCGGGCAGATGCACGCGAAGAAGTTGCGGCAGATTCATGTGCTCAGCCAGCAACTTGAGCGAACGATAAGGCACTTGCAGCTGTGCGATAGGAAAACTGCCAAGCAGAACCTGCAAGCTCTTTGGAGTGCAAGAGGGAAATACAACACCTGGACAGTCGCAAAGGCGCACATTCGGCAACAAGAATATGGTTTGGAAATGTTTGGTGTGGCCGGGAGTACGGCTAACGCTGACAACTTTACGTCCTTTGATGGCGTTAATAAGCGATGATTTTCCAACGTTTGGAAATCCAATGCATCCAACCGTTAAAATACCGCTGTTGTATTTCACGTGCTGATGTGGCGTGGTGTCGATGATATTGCTGATTTTCAGCTCTCCTTCCACTTGAGTTTTGTTCGTGGCTTCGTCAACATCCACTTGCTCAATGCGCATATCGTCACGAATTTTTTGTTCCCATGCTGAGAGATCTACGTCGCTTTGAACATAACGTTGACACTCGCGAAAGATATTATAGACTCCCTCCATGCTCTGACGATGAGCACGCTGATAGCGACCACGCTGTGTACCTTTCTGGCTGCGCACCGCATACGATGCAAACAGCACAATGGGCAGCTCCGGGTAGTGTTCGTTGAAATAGTGTCGCCAAGCGACGACAGCCTCGGGTGCGACTAGATCCACTTTGTTAAAGACAACAATCGCATGCTTCTTCAGCGTGTGAATAATATAGTCGTAAAGGGATGGTGGAAACATGAGTGACGCATATCGAACATCCACAATAATTAGCAAAATGTCGGAGAACTCAAGCACACGCCAAAGCTGACGCCAAGTCTCTAAGTTTAGTTCAAAGAGGGAAATTTCTTTGCTATTGCTACGCTGCTTTTTTTGCAGCACCTCGTCGACATACTCCTAAAAGAGTAGGTCATCAGATTCACATGTGTATCCAATATAACAATTGACATACCTTGAAATACCTATTTTCGTTTCGATCCAATAGCTCTTTGCTCTGGTCAAATGTCCAAGGTGGTCGCACAGGAAAATCATAATTCTCAAAATAGCGTGCATCAATCTCCCTTTGTGCGTCGGTCAGCACATCTAACGGCTTGAATCCCTCCTGTTTCATTAGCTCGATCTCCTTTTTGCTTTCTTGAACGAATTGGAGATTGTAACGGTTGACATTCTTGTTTCGCCCAGCACGCGTTAGCGGCTGCTCCATAAGCTTTCGATCCACGGTCGTCTCCGGCGCATCGCTGTCCTCATAAGACTCTTGATTGCTGCGCCGCAAGTTGCTGGGCTGACCTGTGCACATCGTTCTTTTAGAGTTTTGCTAATGCCAATGTTATTACTTATTGTACCTTTTGTGCTACGCTTTTGTAGCAATTGGTCCTTCTTCTTTTTGCCGCTAAAAGGTAGTTTTCGACGTTGCTGCGGCATCTTTAAGTTAATTTTTTCAATTTGCCAATTATGCTGTTCTGTTTCGCATTCGTTGTTGACGCAGAAACGAGGCGTTTTAACGCAAAAATGAGCCGATTGACGCAATAATTACAATAAGTTGTGCACAGAATAACATTTTTAATTTAAAACTTTTTTGTATTCTCGTTCTGAATACTAAACACTTGTTCACTTGATTACTGTATATTTGTGCTATATTTATTTGCCATAAGATGCAATCTATCGTCTAAATCCTCGTAATAGTTTATTTTAGGGCCATTCAGAAATTAAGCAGTACCAGTTGCAGTCGAATTTTAGCTGCAGTTGCAGTAATTGAACAGCTGATTGGTACATCAGATATTAATGGTATTCCTGAAACTGATTTAGACTGCGTCGAACAGCTGATCACAGCTGCTTCATAATAAACGAGCTTAGTAGGAACTAAGGTCACATTAAAAGATATAAAGAAATGAGTTTGAAGCCGACCAGACGGTGAACCAATTTACTAGTGAAACACGTATTCAGTTTTGTCCGATTTGCATCAAACTTATTATCAAAACTCTTATCAAGTCAAGTCTCATCAAGTTGTTGACCATAATCGGGTTCGGCTCGAAAATCAAACCTTTTTTGATGATTTTCTTTTAATATCTCGGCCAAAAAATGACCGATTTTGTAATTTTACACCTTTTTGAATTTGTACGGATCCCTACTATAAATTGTCATTCAAACATTTTAAATATCGATGGGCTAAAAAAAGTTGTTGAGCAAAAAACGATGCCCAAATCGGGTTTGGTTCGAAAATCAAACCTTTTTTGATGCTTTTTTTTGAATATCTCGGCCAAAAAATGACCGATTTTGTAATTTTACACCTTTTTGAATTTGTACGGATCCCTTCTATAAATTGTTATTCAAACATTTTAAATATCGTTGGGCTAAAAAAAGTTGTTGACCAAAAAACGATGCCAAAATCGGGTTTGGTTCGAAAATCAAACCCGTTTTGATGATTTTTTGGAATATCTCGGCCAAAAAATGACTGATTGTGTAATTTTACACCTTTTTGAATTTGTACGGATCCCTACTATAAATTGTCATTTAAACATTTTAAATATCGATGGGCTAAAAAAAGTTGTTGACCAAAAATAGATGCCAAAATCGGGTTTGGTTCGAAAATCAAACCATTTTTGATGATTTTCTTTTAATATCTCGGCCAAAAAATGACCGATTTTGTAATTTTACACCTTTTTGAATTTGTACGGATCGCTACTATAAATTGTCATTCAAACATTTTAAATATCGATGGGCTAAAAAAAGTTGTTGACCAAAAAACGATGCCAAAATCGGGTTTGGTTCGAAAATCAAACCATTTTTGATGATTTTCTTTTAATATCTCGGCCAAAAAATGACCGATTTTGTAATTTTACACCTTTTTGAATTTGTACGGATCGCTACTATAAATTGTCATTTAAACATTTTAAATATCGATGGGCTTAAAAAAGTTGTTGACCAAAAAACGATGCCAAAATCGGGTTTGGTTCGAAAATCAAACCATTTTTGATGATTTTCTTTTAATATCTCGGCCAAAAAATGACCGATTTTGTAATTTTACACCTTTTTGAATTTGTACGGATCGCTACTATAAATTGTCATTTAAACATTTTAAATATCGATGGGCTTAAAAAAGTTGTTGACCAAAAAACGATGCCAAAATCGGGTTTGGTTCGAAAATCAAACCTGTTTTGATGATTTTTTGGAATATCTCGGCCAAAAAATGTCCGATTTTGGAATTGTATACCATTTTATACTCGTAAGGATCAGTACTAATCATTAGCATCAACAAAATGAATATCTAAATTTTGACCAAAATTGACAAAATGGCAAGGGGTTACATCACGTTTTTTGCCAAATCGAAGTCGGCTCGAAAATCAAAACTTTTTTGATGATTTTTGTTGAATATCTCGGCCAAAAAATGTCAGATTTTGTAATTTTACACCTTTTTGAATTTGTACGGATCCCTACTATAAATTGTCATTCAAACATCTTAAATATCGATGGGCTAAAAAAGTTGTTGACCAAAAAACGATGCCAAAATCGGGTTTGGTTCGAAAATTAAACCTTTTTTGATGATTTTTTTTTGAATATCTCGGACAAAAAATGTCCGATTTTGTAATTTTACACCTTTTTGAATTTGTACGGATCCCTACTATAAATTGTCATTCTAACATTTGAAATATCAATGGGCTAAAAAAAGTTGTTGACCAAAAAACGATGCCAAAATCGGGTTTGGTTCGAAAATCAAACCTGTTTTGATGATTTTTGGAATATCTCGGCCAAAGAATGTCCGATTTTGGAATTGTATACCATATTATACTCGTAAGGATCAGTACTAATCGTTGGCATCAACAAAATGAATATCTAAATTTTGACCAAAATTGACAAAATGGCAAGGGGTTACATCACGTTTTTTGCCAAAATCGGGTTTGGTTCGAAAATCAAACCATTTTTGATGATTTTCTTTTAATATCTCGGCCAAAAAATGACCGATTTTGTAATTTTACACCTTTTTGAATTTGTACGGATCCCTACTATAAATTGTTATTCAAACATTTTAAATATCGATGGACTGAAAAAAGTTGTTGACCAAAAAACGATGCCAAAATCGGGTTTGGTTCGAAAATCAAACCTGTTTTGATGATTTTTTGGAATATCTCGGCCAAAAAATGTCCGATTTTGGAATTGTACACCTTTTTGAATTTGTACGGATCCCTACTATAAATCGTAATTTAAACATTTTAAATATCGATGGGCTAAAAAAGGTGGTTGACCAAAAAACGATGCCAAAATCGGGTTTGGTTCGAAAATCAAACCTGTTTTGATGATATTTTGGAATATCTCGGCCAAAAAATGTCCGATTTTGGAATTGAATACCATTTTATACTCGTAAGGATCAGTACTAATCACTGGCATCAAAAAAATGAATATCTAAATTTTGACCAAAATTGACAAAATGGCAAGGGGTTACATCACGTTTTTTGCCAAAATCGGAGTCGGCTCGAAAATCAAAACTTTTTTGATGATTTTTGTTGAATATCTCGGCCAAAAACTGTCCGATTTTGTAATTTTACACCTTTTTGAATTTGTACGGATCCCTACTATAAATTGTCATTCAAACATCTTAAATATCGATGGGCTAAAAAAGTTGTTGCCCAAAAAACGATGCCAAAATCGGGTTTGGTTCGAAAATTAAACCTTTTTTGATGATTTTTTTGAATATCTCGACCAAAAAATGTCCGATTTTGGAATTGTACACCTTTTTGAATTTGTACGGATCCCTACTATAAATTGTTATTCAAACATTTTAAATATCGATGGACTGAAAAAAGTTGTTGACCAAAAAACGATGCCAAAATCGGGTTTGGTTCGAAAATCAAACCATTTTTGATGATTTTCTTTTAATATCTCGGCCAAAAAATGACCGATTTTGTAATTTTACACCTTTTTGAATTTGTACGGATCCCTACTATAAATTGTCATTTAAACATTTTAAATATCGATGGGCTTAAAAAAGTTGTTGACCAAAAAACGATGCCAAAATCGGGTTTGGTTCGAAAATCAAACCTGTTTTGATGATTTTTTGGAATATCTCGGCCAAAAAATGTCCGATTTTGGAATTGAATACCATTTTATACTCGTAAGGATCAGTACTAATCACTGGCATCAAAAAAATGAATATCTAAATTTTGACCAAAATTGACAAAATGGCAAGGGGTTACATCACGTTTTTTGCCAAAATCGGAGTCGGCTCGAAAATCAAAACTTTTTTGATGATTTTTGTTGAATATCTCGGCCAAAAACTGTCCGATTTTGTAATTTTACACCTTTTTGAATTTCTACGGATCCCTACTATAAATTGTCATTCAAACATCTTAAATATCGATGGGCTAAAAAAGTTGTTGCCCAAAAAACGATGCCAAAATCGGGTTTGGTTCGAAAATTAAACCTTTTTTGATGATTTTTTTTTGAATATCTCGACCAAAAAATGTCCGATTTTGTAATTTTACACCTTTTTGAATTTGTACGGATCCCTACTATAAATTGTAATTTAAACATTTTAAATATCGATGGGCTAAAAAAGGTGGTTGACCAAAAAACGATGCCAAAATCGGGTTTGGTTCGAAAATCAAACCTGTTTTGATGATATTTTGGAATATCTCGGCCAAAAAATGTCCGATTTTGGAATTGAATACCATTTTATACTCGTAAGGATCAGTACTAATCACTGGCATCAAAAAAAGGAATATCTAAATTTTGACCAAAATTGACAAAATGGCAAGGGGTTACATCACGTTTTTTGCCAAAATCGGAGTCGGCTCGAAAATCAAAACTTTTTTGATGATTTTTGTTGAATATCTCGGCCAAAAAATTACCGATTTTGTAATTTTACACCTTTTTGAATTTGTACGGATCCCTACTATAAATTGTAATTTAAACATTTTAAATATCGATGGGCTAAAAAAGGTGGTTGACCAAAAAACGATGCCAAAATCGGGTTTGGTTCGAAAATCAAACCTGTTTTGATGATATTTTGGAATATCTCGGCCAAAAAATGTCCGATTTTTGAATTGTATACCATTTTATACTCGTAAGGATCAGTACTAACGATTGGCATCAAAAAAATGGATATCTAAATTTTGACCAAAATTGACCAAATGGCAAATGGCATCACGTTTTTTGCCAAAATCGGAGTCGGCTCGAAAATCAAAACTTTTTTGATGATTTTTGTTGAATATCTCGGCCAAAAACTGTCCGATTTTGTAATTTTACACCTTTTTGAATTTGTACGGATCCCTACTATAAATTGTCATTCAAACATCTTAAATATCGATGGGCTAAAAAAGTTGTTGACCAAAAAACGATGCCAAAATCGGGTTTGGTTCGAAAATCAAACCATTTTTGATGATTTTCTTTTAATATCTCGGCCAAAAAATGACCGATTTTGTAATTTTACACCTTTTTGAATTTGTACGGATCCCTACTATAAATTTTCATTCAAACATTTTAAATATCGATGGACTGAAAAAAGTTGTTGACCAAAAAACGATGCCAAAATCGGGTTTGGTTCGAAAATCAAACCATTTTTGATGATTTTCTTTTAA